TTCAAAATCTATTGTTTGGCATAAACTTGCGGATCTGTTCTCCTCAGGCTTTCCTTTAAAGTGTATTTCAGAAGTAAAACAATACAATAAGTTTAAAAACTGAACATTGATTATTTTCACCCTAATAACACTGCTTGAGGTACTATCAGTATCTCTGGCCAGAGTCAAGAACAAAGGAATAAAGAAAATAACATCCATATTCATAACAGCATTATTCACGATAGCCAAAAGGCTGAAACGACCCTAGTGTCCATTGACAGATGAATGGATAAACCAAATGTGGTAAATACATACAATGGACTATTTTTCATCCTTAAAAAGGAAGGAAATTCTGACACGTGCTACAACATGGATGAACCTCTAGGACATGATGCTGAGTGAAATAAGCCAGTCTCAAAAAGACAAATACTGTTTGACACTCCACTTATATGTGGTACTTAGGGTAGTCAAAATCACAGGGACAGAAAGTAGAAGGGTGGTTGCCAGGGGCAGGGGTGGGGGGAATGGGGAGTCATTTAACCCTGGGTACCGGGTTTCAGTTTTTCAGGATGAAAAGAGTTCTACTCCTAGAAAAGAACATAGGCAAAACATTCTCTGACATAAATCGTACAGTTACGATTACGACATAAATGTTTTCTTAGGTCAGTCTCCCAAGGCAATAGCAATAAAAACAAAAATAAATGGGACCTAATCAAACTTACAACCTTTTGCATGGCAAAGGAAACCATAAAATAATGAAAAAACAACCTACAGAATGGGAGAAAATATTTGCAAATGATGTGACAGACGAGGGCTTCATCTCCAAAATATACAAACAGCTCATGCAACTCAACAACAAACAAACAAATCGAAAAATGGGCAGAAGACCTAAACAGACATTTCTCCAAAGAAGATATACAGATGGCCAGTAGGCACATGAAAAGATGCTCAACATCACTAATTATTAGAGAAATGCACATCAAAACTATAATGAGGTACCACCTCACACCAGTCAGAATGGCCATCATTAAAAAGTCTACAAATAACAAAAACTAGAGAGGGTGTGGAGAAAAGGGAACCCTCCTACACTGTTGGTGGGAATGTAAATTGGTGCAGCCACTATGGAAAACAGTGTGGAGGTTCCTCAGAAAACTAAAAATAGAGTTACCATATGATCCAGCAATCCCACTGGATTGTTCCCCTATGTTCGTAGCAGTGCTATTCACAATAGCCAAAATACGGGAACAACCCAAATGTCCATTGACAGATGAGTAGATAAGGAGGTGGTACATATATGCAGTGGAAAACTACTCAGCCATAGAAAAGAATGAAATAGTGCCATTTGCAGCAACATGGATGGACCTAGAGATTATCATACTAAGTAAGTCAGAAAGAGAAAGACAAATACCATATGATATCACTTATAGGTGGAATCTAAAATATGGCACAAATGAACCTATCTATGAAACAGAAACAGACTCAGAGACATAGAGAACAGACTTATGGTTGTCAAGGGGGAGGAGTTTGGGGGAGGGAAGGACCGGGAATTTGGGATTAGCAGATATAAACTATTATATATAAGATGGATAAACAACAATAGTACAGGGAACTCTATTCAATATCCTGTGATAAACCATAATGGAAAAGAATATTAAAAAAGAATGTCTAAAAAAAAGATGAAAAGAGTTCTAGACATTGTTTGCACAACGATGTGAATGTATTTAACACCACTGAACTGTACGCTTAAAATGGTTAAGATGGAAATTTTATGTGTATTTTACCACATTAAAAAAAAAAATTTAAAGCAGGAATATTTAGTTCATTTAAATTGTATGTTCAGGGCTTCCCTGTTGGCGCAGTGGTTGGGAGTCCGCCTGCCGATGCAGGGGACACGGGTTCGTGCCCCGGTCTGGGAGGATCCCACGTGCCGCGGAGCGGCTGGGCCCGTAAGCCATGGCCGCTGACCCTGCGCATCCGGAGCCTGTGCTTCGCGACGGGAGGGGCCGCAGCAGTGAGAGGCCCGAGTACCGAAAAAAAAAAAAAAGTATGTTCATACACAAGGTTGACAAGAAAAACTCCCCTTCGTCTTCCTCACACCCCGGTCCCTGGGGTTTGCTCTGGATACAGGGAGAGCAAATCTTATCAACTGCCTTTCTTAATCCAGCCTGGTAGGAAGACACAGCTGAGCCTCAGAATATAAACTAGAAATGAAAAACAACTGAGAAATCTCCTTCTAATTCTCCGCGTCTTTTAGTGAGGACGCCCAGAGTGAGGGGCCTCGGCTTTTGGGAGGGGGAAACAGCAGGACACCGTTGTGGGCAAGAGGACCCAGGGCAGGTTGGGCCGTGGAGGAGGGGCGGTGCAAGTAAAACTTCCCTGCGAGGTCATATAGAAGGAAGAGGACATTCTTTTCCAATCATGCTGCTGTAGGAAAATATTCTTCTTCCTTGATGTGGCTCCCCAGTGTACTGTCTCTGAGCATTGTTTATCATGCGAGCTGTGGGCTTCCGTCCAAAAGTCACCCTCAGGGGCCGGAAGATTATAGGCAACAGGAGGAGCTGTGACCTCACCTTGCCCTGGGTAGGGGGCCAATGCCTACCCCATGCTCCTCTGTTGGAGCTCTTGGTGATATGATTCTAAACTAGACTCATACTTGGGGAAAGGGATTCCTGTGGATTATCACGCTCCACTGTGCTGTTCAGGGTGGTGGAACAGATACCAGGGCAAGATCAGCCTGTGTATTCTTCCCTACACAGCCTAGGGAATTGACGAGGTGGTTCAATCTGAGAAAAAAGTGAGGCGAAAGCTGGTTATCCCATGAGAGAACGCTTATAAATCATTTACCACTTTCCCCACTTTGATTCTGGGAATAATATTTAGCATCTGGTTTTAAAAACCCTTTTCTACTGTGGAAAGAAATACCAACCAATTGAGATCAAGCAAAAGCTGTTTATTCAGGGCTTGCTATAGCAAGAGTCAGCCAACATCACTTAGGTTTTGGCAGACACCCAAAGGCAGGCAGAGGAGTGGGAAAGCTTTGTACTGGACAAAGAGGAAGCCTGCAGGTGTGCCCTGATTGGAGGCTGTTGACATGGGAAGCTGCAGGCAGGCTAACCAGAAGCATGGCATCCTATGTGATTGGTCAGGGGAGCATATTTGCTTTCTCCAGTTGATCCCAAGTTGGAAGCTGCAACAAAAATTAGGGAGGCTATCAGATATTAATAAAGTCCTGGCCATTTGGGACTGATTGTTACAGGAGTTATTGTCTCACTTCCTGGACTAGTTGTTAGAGATAGAAGTCTGACTTGCAAATAGTAGGTTGGCTTCCTGGGCTGGTTGCTCCAGACTGTGGGTCAGAGTTCTGTTCTATATATGGTCTGGCCATTGTCCATTTGTATATTCAGTCTCTCACTACCAGACTGTAAAGAAAAATATGTTGCCTGCTATTCCAGTTCTACAAGGATAAAGCCATTAGCCACTGGAGTTGCCCACTGACAGTGCACCTGAGGGGAATTCACTGTGAACTTCCCTCCAACTGCTTTTGCTGCATCCCACAGATTTTGTATGGTTGTGTTTTCATTGTCATTTGTCTCAAGGTATTTTTTAATTATCTTTTTGATTTCCTCATTGACCCATTTTTTTTTTTAGTAGCATGTTGTTTAGTCTCCATGTAATAGTTTTTTTCTCATTTCTTTTTCTGTGGTTGATTTCTCGTTTCATGTTGTTGTGGTCAGAGAAGATGCTTGAAATAATTTCCATACTCTTAAATTTGTTGAGGTTTGTTTTGTGGTCAATCCTAGAGAATGTTTCATGTGCACTTGAAAAGAATGTATATTCTGGTGTTTTTTTGGATGTAATGTTCTGAAAATATCAATTAAGTCTAACTGTTCTATTGTATCATTTAGGATCTGTTGCCTTGTTGATTTTCTGTATAGAGGATGTGTCCATTGATGTGAGTGGGGTGTTAAAGTCTCCTTCTATTATTGTATTCCTGAGAGGAATTCAGGATGGAGAAAAACAGGAAGCATTCTGCATTCTGTGCTGGCCCCTAGATAGTTAAGATGCATCTCTAAGGACAAATTTCAAATGACCCTAGATTATTGCATATTCCCATATATAGAAAAGCACTAACATCATTAACTTGAGATGTCTGTTCTTTGTGATTTGCAGTAATCTTTTGATGTTCAACTACATGTTTTTTCCAGCCCAAAGAAATTCATATACGTCCTGGTTCCTCCCTTACTTCTTCAGAGCAGTTCCTCAGAGCTACCTGCGAGGCTGTCTCTGAGGCTATAGTCCTCCGTAAGGTCCCCAAATAAAACTTGACTCACAACTTTTATGCTGTGCGTCCTTATTTCAGTCAACAAAAGCTTGAGGTGTTTCGGCCCGAAAGTCTAGTGGTGGTGGAGCTGTAGGAGTGAAGCTTTCTTTGCTCCTTCCTCCACTCAGGCCAGTGTAGTCATAGAAATATCAGATCAAGGTGGGGACAGTGGTCCAGAAGTTCCAGGCTTTGCCACTAACCAAAGCTGAAAGTTTTGGGGACAATAAGGAAGCCCCTGCTGCAGTGTGGACAGACTCAGGAGTCTACGTGAGAGCAACCCTTCCCCAACAAGTGGAAGGTCGCCTTGACAGCCAAAGGAAGCACTCCTGTTATATTGTCTGTATAAGTGGAGGGAGTTCCCAGAGAGGGAAACCCTTTTATAAAATCCCTAATACCCCTGACTTTTAATTTCAGCAATAGAGTATGACACTGAAAGTTATTGAAATTGTCAACATTGGCTTGTGTCCAATTTGTAAACAGCTCCTCGGCTGCCCCTTCCCTACCATCACCTGGCCCCCATCGCTAACTGTAGAAATCTTTAGAATTTTCTCTAGGATTCATTTTCCCTTACCTGACCCCCGTAATATTTGCTTCATAATTCTCTTATGGCTTTTAGCTTGCTGTATAGTTTATGCTATTCATATTTACTTCTTTTAACCTCCGCCAGACTATAAACTCTTTTTTTTTTTTTCACCTGCAGTGTTAGTATAGACACTGAAAAACGCTCACTGATCAATGTCCCTGTGATGGATGACACATTCATTGACCAAATACGAATTGAGAAGATTCTCGGAGCCAAATCAGAAGATAGGCACTAGAGGGTACAGAGACAACACAGTCACTGCCCCTGGCCTCAGGGTGAGAGAAAAGCAGCCAAATAATTGCCATACGATGTGGTAAGTGCTAAGTAATGGAATGGAAGTAAGTACGAAGTGCTTTGGGAATACAAGTAAGGAAGTGACTTGCTTTGATGAGCAAATCAGGGGAGGCTTCACGGAAGAGGTAACATTTGAAGGCTGAGCGGAGGTTTTCCTTGCAGAGAAGGAGAGAGCATCCAGGTAGAGGGAACTGTGATAGAAAGAGGAGCTCAGGTGACGGCATCCAGGGAAGAGCAGGTGGGGCTGGAGTTCTGGTGGAGATGTAGCTGCCTGAGTTCATAGGGGCTAGATTGTGAAGAGCCTTGAATGCCATTTTTATAAGTCATTTGGATTTAATTCTACTGGCAATATAGAGTCCATCCAGGCTGCTAAACAGAGGGATGGCAAACATCTGTGTTTTGTTATGATAATTTTGGCACCCATGTGGCAGATGGATGGGGCACCCAGTTAAGAGGCTGCCGATGATAGGGACCTGAACTAGAGCAAGAAATAACTGAAATTCCCTTCTGCTCCTCTGGGGCAAACTGTTCTCCTTGGTAGTTTTCAGACAATCAACTTGCCCAAAGGCAAAATCCAAGGCTCAGTGTTTCACCTACTGTGTGATTTTTGCTTTCTCCCACTCTGTGTGTTTTCTTTTCACTTTCTTGATGATGCCCTTTGAAGCACAAAAGTTCTTAATTTTTTTTTTTTTTTTTTTGCGGTACGTGGACCTCTCACTGTTGTGGCCTCTCCCGTTGCGGGGCACAGGCTCTGGACGCGCAGGCTCAGCGGCCATGGCTCACGGGCCCAGCTGCTCCGCGTCATGTGGGATCTTCCCAGACCAGGGCACGAGCCCGTGTCCCCTGCATCGGCAGGCGGACTCTCAACCACTGCGCCACCAGGGAAGCCCAAAAGCTCTTAATTTTGATAAAGTTCAGTTTATCTACTTTTTTTCCTTTTCACTTGTGCTTTCAATGTCACATTTTAATAGGCTTTGTCTAACCCAAGGTAATGAAGACTCACCCCTATGTTTCTAAGAATTTTATAGTGTTAACCCTCATGTTTCGGTCTATGACCATTTTGAGGTAATTTTTGTATATGATATGAGAAGAATCCAACTACACTCTTTTGCATGTTGATACGTAGTTGTCCCAGCACCATTTGTTGAAAAGCCTGTTCTTTCCCCCCCGTGAATTACCTTTGTTGAAAATCAATTGACTATAAACACAAGGGTTTGCTTCTAGACTCTCAATTCATTGATCTGTATGTTTTTCTTTATGCCAGGACCACATTGTCTTGCTGCTTTGTAATAAGTTCTGAAATCAGAAAGTGTGAATCTCCCAATTGTGTTCTTTTCAAATTTATTTGGCTACTCACACCAGCATATCAGACGCCCCATCAGACAGCTTCTTTTGGTTGTTGTTAATTACCGGAGATTAACTAGCCACAGGAATTTGTTATTTGTGAACACCATAGGTTATATCTAACTCAGACACATCTGCTATCAGATGGGAGGGAAACGTTGGCAAAGAAAAAAGAAAAAAATTGAAACTTTTTTTATGACTTGAAAAATAAAGAACTCTAATTGTATAGCAATTGTATAAATGTATCTAAACATGTGTCTTGGGAATGCAGATGGAATAAGAATGATTGCTTCTGGCTTGTCCTTAGCTTCATGACATCCTAAGAAATTGAAATGGTTCTAAGTACAAGACTATTCCTCCATTCTCTAGTAAAAGAAATGGGGAAGTTCTACAGAAGAACATACAAATACAAATGAGCAATGTCAAGATATGAGGGAAGGCTTTGTGACCCAACAGCAAGGTGTCAATAAATCTGAAAGCTGAACCCCTAGCTCAACTTACAGATGGACTGAACAAGTATGGAAAAATAGCATATCATAAAGTAGAAGTTCAGCTCTATATCCCTCTATAATTACCTAGCTTTCCTGAGAGTTTGATAAGATTTTCTCATTGTATGGGTATGTAATGGTTAATTTTCTGTTGTCTTGGAGGGTGCTTTGGAATGAGATTAATATTTAAATCTGGACTGCCCGTCATAATGTGGGTAGGCCTCATCCGATCGGTTGAAGACCTGAATAGACCAAAAGACTGGCCTCCCTGAGCAAGAGGGAGTTTGCCAGCAGACTGTCTGCCGACTTCGTCTGTACCATCAGCTCTCCTGGGTTTCCAGCCCGCTGCCCCACACTGCAGATTGGTACTTGCAGCATCCATAATTGTGTGAGCCAGTTCCATATAATAAATCTCCGTATAGGTCCACATCCTATTGGCTCTGTTTCTCTGGAGAACTCTGACAAATCTAGGGCATAAATAATTTCTAAACAAATAGATTGGTGTGTCTTTGCCTACCTCCAAGAGAATTTATAAATTATAAAGCCCTTTAAAAGTAAAGGAGCTTCTATTTTGATTGACTTAGGAAGCTAATCCTCTTTCATATGAATAGAATTCAAGAAAAGAAAGATTTAATTCCATACACTTTGAATCTACCGGTTTGACAATTTTGATTTGAAAACAATAATAAGTTTTCTCTGTTTTTAACAGGGTAAAAAATCATGTTAGCTAATATTCTAACTTTTGCAAGACCTGGATTTGTTTATTCATAGAAATCCGTATTAATCTGGACTCCCTAAATCTTTTACTAGTCTTGTTTAAGCTTACATTAGTAATTATTTAATAACATAAAAGCGTAAGAAATTTGTATGTCCAACTACACTGAGTTATAATTATCTTTTAAAAGTATTTGCTCTTAAGAATTTCAAAAAATGTTAAAAACTAGTTACTCTGTCTATATAAATTTCATAATATCATCTGTCTGACAATCTTTTTGAAATCAGCAGTGACTGTATTATTTTATAGCATCAACTTAAATCATAATACCAAGATCCTAAATTGGCTTTGAGAGAGACCTTGGACTAATTGAGTTAATAAATAACCTTTGGATGTCCAGTTTCTTGGCAGATCAAAACTAAAAAGTAAGAGAATATAAAACAAGCAAGCATAATTTTAATATATCTGCCCTTGTCTCCTGTTTTTATTCTTTAGAGAGTGACCATCAGTTAGTGAATTAATAAGGATATACCAATGCCTTTGGGTCATATTAGCATACAGGGTACTATTTGCTATGTTACAGACATGCAGAATGAATGAATGTGGCATGTGAGCTGGTGGTACACAAGCAGACATCCTTGTAGAGCTGTGGTCTGCTGCTAGGTACCTGAGTATGGCAGACAGTGCTCCTTTGCTTCCTTTCCAGTTTTCTCTGTGCCTGAGAGGGAACAGAAGTTAGTTTCTTTGGTTAAAAGTTGTAATTAAATGAGTACTCAAATAGTAGTTGCAAAGACATACAAATATGTAAGGTAATTGTTTTGTTGGGTTTTCAAGGAAATTGCTGTAGTTTTATTAAGATGGTAAGTTTAATGTGATATATATGTCTTATAAAACTATAAATTTATCATTTAATTATATGTGCATGTGTGTATGTATGTGTGTGTATATATATATATATATATATATAATATGGCATGTGAATTAGTAAAAGAGTTTGTTAATGACAGTTCAGAAAAAGAATGATCTTTGGATACCTTTTTTTTGGTTTTTGTCATACTTTTGAATCATTTTTAAACAAAAATTCTTTTTTTTTTTTTTTAACAAAAATTCTTTACTTCTAACTTAGGATTCATAGTAATTATTGTTACTTTAAAAATTTTATTTTAAATTGTCCATCTTACAAAGATTGTAACGATTTTCTTATCTTTAGACACCCTTTACTTATGCTCTGATCTTTATGTATGTTCATATCTCACCTGTGATAACTCTCTCATTTTGCATTTCCCATATTCAAGCCCTAAATTTAAAATAGCAAATTTGTTAAGAACTTCTTGCAATCTAGACCCTCCTCAGAAGGGCACTGGGCAGCACTGTTTGTCTCCTAGAGATCATTAGCATGTTGGGTTTTTCCAGATTGCTTTTAGCTCAGTCACTACAAAAGCAAACTAAAACAGATGTTCCCTTGGGAGCCAAATGTTAAATAGGCCTTTTTCTTTCCTACTCAGACATTAGAGCAATACCTGACTTTGGGCAGCCTGACTATACTGAATCCTTCATAATTGTTCGTACAGAAAAGGCAAGTTGTGCTTTAAAAGTGCTTACGCAAAAGCTAAAATCTCATCGCAAGCCTATGGTAGGTTTAGCTGCCTTGTTTATTGCTGTGGTGCTGTGGCAGAAACAATTAAGCTAGTTGGTGCCTCAGCGGGAATTATTCTAGCTCCCCTTCTCACTCACTGCCCTCATAAGATTTGCTGTTCAAACCTAATTGCTTCAAAACAATAGTCACATTTCACCTATGGCATTTTTTCGTTGTCTAATTCCCACATAATTGTCAAGAACCACTCTAACCTAAGTAATCCTAGGGTTTTTTTCCCTAGTAATCCTAGGAAATAGTAATCCTATTTCCTTAGTTTCCAACCTAAGGAAACCAATCTAGCTCCCCCTCCTAATAGAAATGAACCCCACGACTGCTGAATAGCTCTTCAAACTCAGCATTCTCTGTCCCCTGGCCAATGCTGATACATTGTTTTTTCATAGTTCTTATCTTTGAAATAAAGTACATTCTGTGCTGCATAAGCTGTAACTTCTGAACCCTCTGCCTCTTAACAAGAGCATGCCACCTTGTTAAAGATGTAAGGATTCAAAGCCACTGGCTGAAGATGCCCAACATCGCTAATTATTAGAGAAATGCAAATCAAAACTATAAGCTACCACCTCACACCGGTATATAGCAGAATGACGATCATCAAAAAGTCCACAAGTAATAAATGCTGGAGAGGGTGTGGAGAAAAGGGAACCCTCCTACACTGTCAGTAGGAATGTAAATTGGTACAGCCACTATGGAGAACAGTATGGAGGTCCCTCAAAAAACTAAAAATAGAACTACCATATGATCCAGCAATCCCACCCCTGTGCATATATCCAGACAAAACTGTAATTTGAAAAGATACACGAACCCCAATGTTCATAGCA